ATAGACGTTCCATATCGACAAGAGCGGAAAAGAAACAAAACCAAAGACTTTTGTTTGAGGGGCCCCTTTGTATGTCCTTTGTGTGATCCTTTGATTTAGCAAAACTGGTAAACTCAGAAAAAGAAAAAAACACAGCAACAATTGAAAGAAAGAACTCGCCTCTTTGGTGCCTTTGAAATTTCCTTTGCTTGGTGCTGTGCCATTTGATTCCCTTAGTGCAACGCGAAATGATTTGAATGTTTGTAGCACCTTTAGCTGGATTTCTTTCCTTCTTTTGATTATTTTTTTATTACGTTTCTTGTTTGAAATTCAGTTTTTTCTTCGTCTATTCTTTTTTTTGAGATCGCTCAAAAATATTCAATTGTTGTTGTTGTTTTTTTTTATTTAATGTTAATCTTTTGGGGTAGGACAAAATATGTAATGTAAAGTGGTTGCCATGGTTCGCTGTTTTTGGGGCGTGTCCACAAGATGTTTGTCAGACAATTTCCGGTGCAAGGGGAACAACGAAAAACAAACATCGAGAAATTTTTGCTCGATGATTCAGGTTTTTTTAGTTAGTAATGTCCCAACTCTTTCCAACGGATTACAGTTGTTAAATTTATAAGATCCTTGCAAAATACCTTCATTAAAAAATCCACGTCTTAGATATTCCTTGAAAAATATTCTCTAAAAAATCAATGATTAAGATATCAACGATGAACAAAGTCTCTAAAAATATTCTTTAAACCAGTGATCGGAGCAGTATAGTCTGACGGGGCCGTCCATATCATACCCTACACAAACACCACCGAACTATAATTCGAGATATTTGCATCATCTTAATTGATTTGAGGTCAACAGCTACACTGTCTTACCCTGGCATATTTTCCAAATCCTTTTTTTTTTTGGACTTGGTTTCGCTATAAATATTGACCGACTATTTTTAAAACGGCAATTCTAAGTAGTTGACCAGATTCCTTAAAATTTTTGATGTTCGGCTTACAATAGAGGCCTCTAGAGCGACTGGGAAACCCTACATAATACGGCTTTAGGCCAATTCCATACAAATCTTCTGATCATCAACGAAATTTGTAGATGCTGTCCTTGACCAAATCGTGATCTTCCTTTAAAATTTCATAACGATCCGGGCGACATGTTCACCATCTATGTCTGGTAATGATTATATAAATCATATCAAAATACGTAGACACCTGCGTTTATCTTAGTATAACTCTCACATCCGAATACACACAATAATATACTTAGTATAACATGAACCTCTTGGATATAGTATCAAACTATCGTGCCTATGTCTCTCAGATGTAAATAAATACGCCATAAAATACAAATTTTGTAATTTTTCGCAAAAAAGTCTGCGTCCATTTGACCCGCTAAAAATTGACCGATCTTTATTAAAAGAGGCATGCTTATTCTTTGACCCGATCCCGATTAAGTATTTGGTGCATTTCATCCCCTAAATATTACGGCTCATTACCAAAAACAATAGGGGTCTTCATTGACAGAACCTGTCCTACATGCAAAATTTCGTGAAGATTGGTCCATAACTGTGGCCTGTATTGTGTTTACAAATTGTAATGGACAGACGGATGGACACACATGTTTAGATCGACTTAGCTAGTCGAGATATGACGATCGGTATACTTAAAGGTGGGTATAGGACCAATATTTCGCGGCGTTAATGGGGGTGCACAAAGCTATAATACCCTGACAACAAAGTTGTTTAGTGTATAAAAATCAAACCTTTTGAAAGTCTATAAAAATATTCTTTCAAAAATCAACGTCTTTTGGAAGGTCCTTAAAAATATTTTTTAAAAAATCAACGTCTTTTGGAAGGGCTTTAAAAATATTTTTTAAAAAATGAGGTCCTTAAAAATGCACGCCTTGAGAAATCCTTAAAAAATCCACGCCTTAGAGAAATCCTTAAAAATCCACGCCTTAGAGATATCCTTAAAAAATCCACGCCTTAGAGAAGTCTATTAAAAATCCACGCCTTATGGATATACTTAAAAAATCCACGCCATATGGAAATCCTTAAAAAATCCACGGCTTATGGAAGTCCTTAAAAAATCCACGGCTTATGGAAGTCCTTAAAAAATCCACGCCTTAAAGAAGTCCTTAAAAAATCCACGCCATATGGAAATCCTTAAAAAATCCACGGCTTATGGAAGTCCTTAAAAAATCCACGCCTTATGGAAATCCTTAAGAAATTTACTCCTTATGAAATTCCTTAAAAATCCACGCCTAATGGATATACTTTAAAAATTCACGCCTTATGAAAATCCTTTAAAATACCAAGCCTTATAGAATTCCTTAAAAATCCACGTCTTATGGATATACTTTAAAAACTCACGCCTTATGGAAAGCCTCTAAAAATCCAAGCCTTATAAAAGTCCTTAAAAAATCCAAGCCTTATATAAATCCTTTAAAAAGCCATTAAAAATCCAGACCTTATAGAAGTCCTTAAAAAATCCATTTATTATGGAAGTCATTAAAAATCCATGCCTTCTAGAAGTCCTTAAAAATCCAAGCCTTTTAGAAGTCCTTAAAAAATCCAATTTATGTGGAAGTCCTTAAAAAATCCAAGTATTATGGAAGTCATTAAAAATCCAAACCTTATGGAAGTCCTTAATAAGTCCACACCTTATAGAAGTCTTTAAAAAAACCAAGTCTTGTGGAAGTCCTAAAAAACATGCACACCTCATGGAAGACCATAAAAAATCCAAGTCTTATTGAAGTCCTTAAAAATCCAAGCCTTATGAAAGTTCTTAAAAATCCACCTCTTATGGAAGCCCTAAAAAATCCACTCATTAGATTGTCGTTGACAGAATTTTCTTTAAAAAATCCACGCCTTTGAATCCAAGCTTTAATTAGTGCTTAAAAATGTCCTTTAAAAAGCCATTAAAAATCCAAGCCTTATAAAAGTCCTTAAAAAAGTCCAAGCCTTATCGAAATCCTTTAAAAAGCCATTAAAAATCCAAGCCTTATAGAAGTCCTTAAAAATCCAAGCCTTATAGAAGTCCTTAAAAATCCAAGTATTATGGAAGTCATTAAAAATCCAAACTTTATGGAAGTCCTTAAAAAGTCCACGCCTCGTGGAAGTCCTTAAAAAATCCACCCGATATGGAACTCCTTAAAAAATCCACGCGATATGGAACTCCTTAAAAAATCCAAGTCTTATGGAAGTCCTTAAAAATCCAAGGCTTATAGAAGTATGTGGAAGTCCTTAAAAAATCCAAGTATTATGGAAGTCATTAAAAATCCAAACCTTATGGAAGTCCTTAAAAAGTCCTCGCCTCATGGAAATCCCTAAAAAACATTCACGCCTCATGGAAGTCCTTAAAAAATCCAAGTCTTATTGAAGTCCTTAAAAATCCAAGCCTTATGAAAGTCCTTAAAAATCCACCTCTTATTGAAGCCCTAAAAAATCCACGCATTGGATAATCGTTGAAAAAAAAATATTTAAAATATCCACGCATTAGATAGTCATTGACAGAATTTTCATAAAAAATCCACGCATTAGATAGTCGTTGACAGAATTTTCTCTAAAAAATCCACGCCTTTGAATCCAAGCTTTAATTAGTGCTTAAAAATATCCTTTAAGAAATCCACGCCTTAACCAGTGAGCAGAGCAGTATAGTCGGACGGGGCCGACCATACGATACCCTACACAACTACCACGGAACTCTAACTTTCAGCTTATGTTTATTCCGAGCCTGGGCAATATTTCGTTATAGTTGCTCAATCTAGCCCAATTAGAGATCAACAGCACCTCTTCATTACATTCACATATTTTCCGAATATTAATATTCATATTCAGATTCCATTCGGCCTATTATTGACATCAAATCGAAAAAACACAAAAAATTAAGTATTCGGTCCACTTCATTCCAAAATTATTATCTGATCACCACCGAAAATTATAGGCGTTGTTCTTGACCATAACTGGAACCTCATGCAACATTTAAAAGCGGTCAGTGTTATATTTCCGCCATCTATTGTGGTAATGGGTTACTCGGAATCTACGTATTCTGAATATTTAATTGCAACTCCCACGAGTACACACGAACGACAGTATAATTGGTATCAATTTAAAGGTCAACCACTCCTATTGGATATACTATCAACTTCTCGGGTTTATGTCCTTCGGGAGTTAACATATTCGCTATAGAATACAAATTTTGTCATTTTTCACACAAAAGTTAGGGTCCATTTGACGCGCTAAATATTGATCGATCTTTATCAAAACAGGCATGCTTATTCTTTGGCCCGATCCCCTTCTCCATGTAAAAATTTGCGATGTTTGGACCATAATTGCGGCCTATGGAGCGACCAGAAAAACCGACAAAAATTTAGTATTTGGTCCATTTCATCCCCTAAATATTAACCGATCTTTACCAAAAACAATAGGGTTCTTCATTGGCCAGAACCCATCCTACATGCAAAATTTCGTGAAGATTGGCCCATAACTGTGGCCTCTATCGTGTTTACAAATTATAATGGACAGACGAACGGACGGACGGACACACATGTCTAGATCGACTCAGCTAGTCGAGATATGACGATCGGTATACTTAAAGGTGGGTCTAGGACCAATATTTAGCGGCGGTACAAACTTTTGGGGCTGCACAAAGCTATAATACCCTGACAACATAGTTGTGTAGAGTATACAAATACACCCCTTCAGGGACGTACGCAGGGGGGTAGCCCTGGGGACCGTGCCCCCCCCCCCCCCCGCGAACTGAATTTTTTTCACAGTAAATTTATGTTTGCAACAGCGAATTTTTTCATTTTGTACTACCGGGAACCCCCAAATGAAATCCTGTGTACGTTGCTGCACCCCTTATATAGTCCATTAAAAAATCTTTAAAAAAAATCCGCGTGTTTTTAAGTCATACAATTTTATTCTACATAAAATATGTATTTATAAGAGCTACATGTGACAGAATAGATAATAATTGAGTTTAAAATATATATTTAAAGGACAGTACTTCTAGAGACAATCATTTAATTTTCGATCCACGAGCCTGTAAAAATGTAAACATCCGATAGGCAATCATCATTGTCTGAAAAAAATAGTAATAAATGAATGGAATCCTCTGAAAAAAACTCCCAATTACTTACCACTCGAAAATGCACCATATCAATGCTAAACAAATTATACCCACTCAGGGTAAATGGTCGACTGGCAAATAGCAAGAAATGTATTAAAAATTTCCGATACTCTATGGTGGCATCATACCAATTCTGCTCAAATAACACTTGACTCATATTAGTAGTCTAAAATATATGAATATATGAACAGAAGAACACATATGTACACCTATTCTGTATTAATTTATTTGAGGGTTTTCTTACCACACTTTCAATCCTTGATCCCTGATAACAATTATCGAATGCAAATGCCACCTGCACAAAACAGGGAAATATAAACAAAGTGATGGCAATTATGTCATCCGTATTCGCTATCAAATAGATGTGAAAACATATTGAGGCACCACTTATAAGATCGGTGAGAAATAATGGTAAATTAAAAGTGCTCCGCAATTTGTCACCCAATCTGAAATTAAAAAAAATATAAATTCTTATAATATTGATGTCCTCAGAAAGTCAATTGTAATGTATCTAGCCCTAATAAGATTATATATTTCTGAGATTTTTGTTTAAAATCATTTATGTAAGAAGCCAGTAATACAAGTCCATGTTTCGATATAGCTCACCTCAATATATGCTGATGATATTTGATTATCTCCACCAGATCCTTATAAAAATCCTTACTCTTTCTCCATCCCTCCATGGTATCCTTAGCATTTAATCGCGCCAATTCCGTATTGACATATTCGAAATGCATAATAAATTGAGCCACGGTGACAGTGTAAATATGATCCCAAGTAAATAGGCAATTAATACCGAACAACGTTACCAATGTCTCCGAAACATACATATACGGATATGTGTCGGGATTCTCTTTCAAATGAAATGGAAACCATGAGGCATGCTGATGATATTCATCCAAGAGGGGAGCACCACTTGCCGGGTCATAAAAGAGAATATATTTTCAACAAAG